ACGTTGAGTAATACCACCAGCTCTGCTCTGTTGCATTTCGCCACCAGACGGGGTTTCAGACAGGGCGGCTCTCTTTCATGCGGCTTCTTTAATCTGATGTTGGAGAAGATAATAAGATCTTCAGAACTGAACCGCTTAGGAACAATTTACTACAAGAGCGTACAATTGCTGGCTTATGCCGATGACACTGACATCATCGGTAAGAAAAACCGCGAAGTCTGTCCTGACTTTTCCAAGTTGGACAAGGAAGCAAAGCGAATGGGTCTGGTGGTAAACGACGACAAGACGAAGTATCTCCTGTCATCAAACAAACAATCAGCACATTCGCGCCTGGCACCCACGTCACTTTTGACAGTTATAATTTCCAGGAAGTAGAGAATTTCGTTTACTTGGGAACCAGCATTAACACCTGTAATAATGTCAGCATGGAAATCCAACGCAGAATCGCTCTTGCCAACAAGTGCTGCTTTGGACTGAGTAGGCAATTCAGGAGTAAAGTCCTCTCTCGACGTACGAAAACCACACTATAAATCACTCATCATGCCCGTGCTGGTATGTGGCGTATTAAAATACAGCGGCTCAACTGGCTTGATCATGTCGTTCGAATGGACACCGACGCCCCAGCTCTGAAAGTATTCTGGCTTCACTTGGCATTTCTAATAGGCGTCAGTTGGTCAAAATCGCTTTGGCGGTTACAGCGCCAAAAAGGAAGAAGAGGAAGAGAATAGATCTATAACCTTATCAGTCACACAGTGTTATAATCCCGACGAAATCCTTGACGGTGGTACCGGGAGGGGAACGGTACATGACGGTAGGAATTTTAGTTTGGGTTAAAGTCTCACACGGAAGGGGTTAGGCTTTCGATGCTTCCTCCTCGTAAAATAAACATGCTCAGTAAAAAGTTAACAATTTAAATGGACGAATAGTTTTATATCAACTTTTGTGAACTTCTGTTTATTTGTTTTTTGTACAACATATTTACCTTTATTGGTTACAATAATTTTAAGCTAAAATAAAAAAAATTTTAGTACATAAGTAAGTAATAAGTTATTGGTTTTGAATTTTTTATTTTGTATGGCCCCCCCCCCCTAAATTTCGTTCTGGCTACGCCCATGCTGCACTCTGTAAGAATTTTTAGAGAAACCCCATTACGATGTTTATGGCATAACTGTCATAAAACCTATACGGTAAATGTATATACATAAACTTGTCATTTTACTCAGCATTATTCTCTCCCCTACATTTGACTTTTTTTAGGCGAGACTCCCTTGAGCTTCCATATTTTACGCTATTTTTAAATCGGTATCGATCAATACTTAAATGTGTCGACTGAGAAAATCAATACACTTGACACCAATCCGTTAAAAAACAATTTGCGCCGACTTGTTCATAAATTTTCGGCGTCACTTTTAAAACATGCGTGCACTTTGTATGACTTTTCAGATTTTAGAGAAGACTTTGTTTCTCGAATAAGAAAAAACCGAACACTCCATAGTCCGGTTTTTGATTCAATTATTACCCGGACAAACAGACTAAAAACAGGACTGTCCGGTCAAAAAGGGGACACCTGGCAACCCTAGTTATACTTAACATTTTGTCTCGGGGTGTACAATAAAGGAATTATTGGAATTATGTGTCCATACCAAATGAACCTTTCTTGGGGGAGTCTTGCTTTGTAAGACAAAGCTGCAATATAAGGCGCAGGCTACTGCACATAGATGATGATATTCATTTAATTATTTTGCAAAACTATAACTAAATAGGGGAGCGAAAGGTGTTGTAGACCACATAAGTAAACATTTTTGTAGAAAAAACGGAAATCTGAATTTTTGCTCATTTTTGGTGTGTCAAATGTTAAAGCTTTTTTAATAGATTATTTTGTGTACGCCCAAACACTAACACCGCCCTCCCACCCTTGCGACCAGACCTGCCTTGACTAAACGCAAGGTTATACAACTGTCAGCAGTGCCGGCCAACGTCGACGCAAGGCTTGACAATCCAAAGCTGGATATACATGAGGCGATTTTCCAAGCGATTCAACATTGCTTCAGAAAAATATCTCGTGTAAATGGTGATTCAAAAATTGCTTGCCTAAAAGTAGACAGCAAGTCAACTTTTGCAGGCGATTATCGTCTGTCAAAAAATCGCCTCATGTAATGTAGCTTAACGTTCTCTATGCAAACACACGCAGTCTACTAAACTATCAGTTTCATCCTTGAGCGGAACGTACGCAAAGAGTCCATTCTGACGGGGCCCTAAATGTTTAAAAAACATCGGTAAACGAGACCATGTCGAAAGTTTGTTCCGCTGTATAATAAATATAACACGATTATCTAGAAAAATTAACATTTCATTATGCATGCCATTTTCGCTTCTATCCTGTATTATAGGTGGCACAGAATAAAACACGATGTGTTTTTACAATTTACCAAGCTTAAAATGTAGTGATTGCGGTATGGCAATGCGCGTGAGAAGTTTACAATAATTTAATTTTACATTATAATATATCTTTGTACATACAATATTTTGTACAATTTAAGCTTAAATAATAAATTCACATATATTATAAATATTTCTTTGTTTTTGCACTCCTATATCCGTTTAATTATTCAAATATAATTTTGAGATAAGGCACCTGCTACAAGTTTATTGCAAGCCTGCGTTGGTCACGGCCGAATTCACGACGCGACTAAGTTTGGTAAACAAAAATAATCACTTGCGGAACTAAATGGCATTAATTCAATATCCTTGTCAATCGTTAGGTTTTATTACATATATATGTCCCTCGTGTTTTCCCCTTTCGCCTCAATACTATCCGTCGTAGCGGAACTGTCTTTTCAGCAACTTTGTGCCCATTGCTGAATTAATTCAGCTTCATTAAGAAAGCTTCAGAAGCTTACGGTCGAAACGGAAACTGGTCAATTTCTTTACTTGTTGCAACTTAATTTTCAAGAGCTAAGCGCTTCTGGCTTTTATCCAACTTAACATGCACAGGCACTTAACGACAGCCGTGCTTTTATTATAAATTGTCTTTTGTTTGGTTTTTGTGTCTGCTTTCTCAACTTTGAATATTTCAACTCCGCCAATGGCTCGCACGCAACGTGCATTATATTTGCTTCACACAAGCAAATCTCCACTCACACACGGATATAATTTAATTGTACTTTGGCGGAGGTCCTATGCCATGATGCTGCAACCCTTCAGCCACGAAACATTGCCAAATGAGTGGGGGGCGGCTTTTGTTTGCAGATACGCCTACATGTAAGCCGCCAGAAGGCGGTGCGAAAATCCGGATTGTAGAAGGCATAAATGAAGGGATTAATGGCACAGTTCACCCAGCCGACCCAAGTCAGAAAGGACATAAGTCCCTCCAATACAGCAGCGGGCGGCAGAAACGGTATCAAGAGGTAGTAAATGAAGAATGGCAGCCAGCAGGCGATAAAGCCTCCCATGACAATTGTCAGCGTTTTAGCGGTTTTGGTATCCCTCTTTGTTGTAGAAACCCGCATTGCTATTCTGTGCGGATGTTGGTGATGACAGTGGTTGCGGTGATGTGCGACAGGTTGATCCTGTTGATTTTGACCTAAGCCTTGTCTAAATTTCGCGGACTGGGTTGTAATCTTGCTGTTTGCCGATGCAGCCGTAGGTAGACAATTATCGGAAAATGAAGTGGTGTCCTGTAGAAAGTGCACAGCTTGCATAGGTAATGAGGAAGAGCGGCGCTCAGCCAGCGGCAAGCCTACCGCGTTGGAATGCATGCAGACGCCCGCGTATTTGCAGCTGATTGCCGAGCATGGAATAACTGACGTTAAACGGGAGACCTCAACCAACTCATAGAAAGATCCTTGGTGGTTCAATCCGCCGACGACCACGCTACTGCCCAAACCCCCATTTATAGTGGTACTTCCGTTGGCGTTGCTCAGGTAGGCTTTATTACATTTACTACAATGTAAATTGAGATTCTTGATGGAGCCATTGTTGCTGTTACCATTGCCACTGCTCCAGCGCGACTTGAAGGAAGGAAACTTTGGTGTAGCACATTGGTAATGCTCCGACTCGGAAATGAAGTTGTCACAGTCGATGTCGTGGTCTGCCGCACGTTCAGAATTCTGCCAAGAAAATTAGATAAAAAGATGTAAAATGTTAAACGTTTGTATACTCACATCTGCATGTTCATATAAATTGAATACGTACATACATATATATTTACATATACATATTAGTTTTCATTCTAAATAATCATCTAAAACTATTTTCATAATGCTTAAATTCAGTAGCCTACGCGTTGTTTGTCGCGAATCGTTACCTCTTCGTCATGGTCGCGAAAAATATAGGCCCCTATTATGAGTTGCATTCGACCTTCGACTGTAGTTGAAAGTGCTGATCGAACGAATTTTCATTTGGTTTATGGCGCTCATTCGATGAAGAATAGCGCTATTGTGAATTTCGCACGTTTAGATTGCTCACAATAGTATATTTTCACCGCTGAGAAGCTTTGTTCACAAATCGAGCAAACTAAATAGTGTGCTATACATACATATGTATGTACATATGTAAATTTGCACAAATTGAAATGAAATAAAAAGGAAAGCGAGTTTATAAAAACGTGGTAGAAATTAGTACAACGGAGTTCTGGTTCAACGATTCGTTAGAGTAGAGATGGGCAAAGTAGCTCCCAGGAGCTGTTTGCGCTTAGGAGCCGGCTTGGCACATTTAGATGGTAGATAAGGGGTAACATCAAGAGCCAGCATGAAGAGGGAAGAAGAGCGTATTCAAATTTCTTGTACTGCGACTCTCATTACAAATATATATTATGCTTTTAATGTATTTTGTACACCCCTTTACCCTGAGAACTGATTTAGCTCTTGCTGGCTCATTGACGGCTTTAAGAGCCAAAAATCTGCCCGTCCCTGCGTTAGAGGATGGGAACTTAGAAAACTGGCCAGGAGTAGAAAACGTTTAAGAGAGTTTAAGTGTAGATTTTCAAATATATTTTGACATACAATATATTTAAGAAATTTTGTCATCCAAATCTATTTAAAATATACTAGTAATAATCCCCGATAATCGGGGTGCTCCGTGGTCTTAAAGATCTGCACATTTCTTTATTCTATAAACCACATGCATTGATTTTGGTAGTTAACTTTAACTTGGTATTTGGGCAAGATCGTACTCTACTCAATACGCCATGCGTTAAGCAATCCTCTTGTTAGGGTTTGACATTGAGACTTATTTATTATTATTGCGAACGCTACAATAATTTTGAATTGGCGACGTTTAAATACAAAAGCCAGTGTTGATTCGCTGGGCTGTTTATTTATATGGGATAGTATAATTCGAATGACATGTTTAAAGTCCATTAACTAACCCTTTATATGTACATATTTGTATTGCGGCATCCAAATAATTACATTGTAATTCTTTAACTATTAGGCGAGACCATTAACTAACTCGTCATATGTATATCCATGGATTTGAGCCATGATTCAATAATACAAGGTTAGATAATTATTGACAATGATTCAATAATACAAGGTTCGATAAACCGACAGTTGTCTCTCTCGCACCGCTCCCTTAGCAGTGGCACCGTGTTGCTTCTTTGCAAATTTACATGGAAACAGTGTAGCTTTAGTGTGAGATAAAAGTACATATAAGCTTTTGTGCAATATGTTTATTTGTATATGCATATGAAGCATATCTAACTGATGAAAACATAAGCATTGGATGTTTACATCATTCTCATAGTAGTCTTATTTTAATTTTGAGTCATTTTGCAGTTTTTATATAGCTAAATAGCACATAAATTACGTAATTCACGTAGATATATAAATATTACGTTCAACATTTCGTTTAAAATGCCAGATTTCCTGCAAATACATTAGAATTTACAAAAGAAATTCCACTACTAATTGCCTACTTTGCGTACTTTTCTACTACAATTTTCGCAACAAGGAATTGCATTCTTGCCCTTTTGCTGTCCTTCGTAAATGCAACCTTTTGTAAGGGAGTGTCAAGCCGCAGCTGTAAATAATTATCTAACCTTGTATTATTGAGGCTGCATTTCTTTATACATTCCGGATAATCTCATTTCACAGCCGGAATAAACAGAATGTGTTTGAAATATACGTTAACATATCATCAGGAACGTTCTAAAGAATAAGTAAACAAAAAAGTTCATTCCAAACGTTCAGAATGAATAAAGAAATTCAGCCTGAATCGTGATTATTGACAGCTGCGGCTTGACACTCCCTTACAAAAGGTTGCATTTACGAACTAAGTAGTGTTTGCCACAATATGAATGGCAAAGTACAGGGCGTAAAATAATAACTGTCGCAAAGGTTTTTCGAAAAATAAAAGAGTCCTTTAAAGAATTTGCGAAAAAAGTATTTTTTGCTAACTTTATAAATAGCTTACTTTAATTTTAATAGTCGTTTTAAAAATTTTTACCCCTTATTTCCTTTTGCCAGCTTTGGGAGATAAGTACATGCTTTTTTCAGGTGTATTTTTTCTTAGATTTTGTATAGGNCAGTGTTGATTCGCTGGGCTGTTTATTTATATGGGATAGTATAATTCGAATGACATGTTTAAAGTCCATTAACTAACCCTTTATATGTACATATTTGTATTGCGGCATCCAAATAATTACATTGTAATTCTTTAACTATTAGGCGAGACCATTAACTAACTCGTCATATGTATATCCATGGATTTGAGCCATGATTCAATAATACAAGGTTAGATAATTATTGACAATGATTCAATAATACAAGGTTCGATAAACCGACAGTTGTCTCTCTCGCACCGCTCCCTTAGCAGTGGCACCGTGTTGCTTCTTTGCAAATTTACATGGAAACAGTGTAGCTTTAGTGTGAGATAAAAGTACATATAAGCTTTTGTGCAATATGTTTATTTGTATATGCATATGAAGCATATCTAACTGATGAAAACATAAGCATTGGATGTTTACATCATTCTCATAGTAGTCTTATTTTAATTTTGAGTCATTTTGCAGTTTTTATATAGCTAAATAGCACATAAATTACGTAATTCACGTAGATATATAAATATTACGTTCAACATTTCGTTTAAAATGCCAGATTTCCTGCAAATACATTAGAATTTACAAAAGAAATTCCACTACTAATTGCCTACTTTGCGTACTTTTCTACTACAATTTTCGCAACAAGGAATTGCATTCTTGCCCTTTTGCTGTCCTTCGTAAATGCAACCTTTTGTAAGGGAGTGTCAAGCCGCAGCTGTAAATAATTATCTAACCTTGTATTATTGAGGCTGCATTTCTTTATACATTCCGGATAATCTCATTTCACAGCCGGAATAAACAGAATGTGTTTGAAATATACGTTAACATATCATCAGGAACGTTCTAAAGAATAAGTAAACAAAAAAGTTCATTCCAAACGTTCAGAATGAATAAAGAAATTCAGCCTGAATCGTGATTATTGACAGCTGCGGCTTGACACTCCCTTACAAAAGGTTGCATTTACGAACTAAGTAGTGTTTGCCACAATATGAATGGCAAAGTACAGGGCGTAAAATAATAACTGTCGCAAAGGTTTTTCGAAAAATAAAAGAGTCCTTTAAAGAATTTGCGAAAAAAGTATTTTTTGCTAACTTTATAAATAGCTTACTTTAATTTTAATAGTCGTTTTAAAAATTTTTACCCCTTATTTCCTTTTGCCAGCTTTGGGAGATAAGTACATGCTTTTTTCAGGTGTATTTTTTCTTAGATTTTGTATAGGGTTGGTCGAATGTATGGCCTCCTAGTCACCAGTTCCGAGTCTTTTCGATTGCTGAGTATGAGGCCTTATGTTGGACAAAAGATGGAGTATAAAGGTGCCAAATGGAGGAAATTAGCCTATGGTTACAGAAGATATTTAACAAAGTAACCGACGAAGACTTGCGTGCCGCTTGAGCTTTTCTCTCAAAGTGTTTACCGCTGGTAAACGCAAATGAAGGTTAAAATTTAAAAACTTATTAATAAAATTTAAGTAAAATCTGTGGATAATTAACAATAAACTACTCCTTCGCAAAATCTCTAAACTTACCTTTTATATTTCAATAAAACCTGTGCAACAGTTATTATTTTACGCCCTGTATATGATAAAATATTTATAGCTAGAAAAAGGAGTACAAAAGAAGTACAAAACTAAGAAAGGAGTACATTTCCAGATATTTTTTTGGGAGTACAAGGGAGTACATTACAATAAAAAGGAGTACGTTTACTCCCAAAAGCAGTACGTCTGGAAACTCTACTTATGTGCCGCTGAGACGCTGCCTATCGAAACGAACGTAGCAATGCTTTGCTCAATGTAAACATTTTAAAATCTTACGACGCAAATATTTCGAAAATGGTTGAATGAATCTTAAAAAAGTTTGTGCAAAGTTTCAGATCGAGCATTTAATTCGGTGTATAATTTGTCTCTGTACGACTTTCAGATCGCTGGATAATATATAGAATGTTTCAGAATAGTATAAAGATTAAAACTATAAAAAGCTCTATGATTTTGTTCCCAGAGATCGTGCCAAAAAGCAAGTGCTTGAGCTCAAATTTGCGCGGGATACAAGAAACGTTTGCGGGAATATATTTCGAAGAAAAACGACTGCGTGAAACGAGGGTCGAAAAAATTCTGACATATACAACGAAATGTCATTCCTTCTTATTCCTTTTCGTGCGCAGAGTTGCCAGATGTGGGGATTTTGCCCCATTTTGGGGATTTACGAAACCAATTGGGGATAGATTTTTTCGTTTGGGGATGCGGGGATTTTATGGGGATTTTTGTTTGGTTTAAAACTTTGATATTGAAATTAAAATATATATTTTTCTGGCTGCCCATAAAAATTTCTCGAATAAAGATTTTATAAGTACATACTTTTTGCGCGATATGTTTATAAGGCTTTCCTAACGCCGTCAAAGCATTATTCGGCGCAGATGTCTGCTTTGATTGGCTTTCACTGAACAAACAATTTTCGCAACAACCTCCACGAAAGAAATTCTAAAAAATAAATGGTATTCTTTAGCTATTTGAGACTTGTACTTTATTAAACTGAAAAAGTTTGAATACTTTCTGATTTTAAACTTTTATTTATG